ATGTTTAAACTGAGCCTCCAAAACATTTCGTATTTACATTCCAGATTCCCATTTAAAAAAAAATTTGGATAATGTAATGAATTCCCCTCAACCTGATATTAAAATTTCCAAAAATATTTGTTTCTAGTAATTCCTCTCTCGTCACATATGTTTGTACTTTTTTGAATTCTGACCATGAGACCAAGAGATTGCTGTAATATTTCGACATTTTGGTTTTTAAATAAATGTGTTTAGTGCCGATGCAAAGACCCTATAAGTGAATCAATATTAACGCCAAAATATGCAATCTTTAATGACCTGACAACAGTATCGTAACTATATCCCTTCTTAATAAGTCTATTTAAAGGTTTTGTTAGCTTCAGAGGTGAATACTGACATTTTTGTGCTTTATAAAGAATATTTCCATAAAAAATTGGATGTGAAATACCTGAACGTATAAGAAGTCTGCATGCTGAGCTATATTTACGAATGATGTCCTTTTACCGATGATAAAATTGAGTAAATGTTTTGACTAGTTTGTGATATCGAAAACCCTGGTGTAATAATTTTTCAGTAATACATAAATTTCTCTCGTTAAAATCTAAAACATTGTTACATACACGAGCGAATCGTACAAGTTGAGATATATAAACACCGTAAGATGGTGACAAGGGAACGTCACCATCTAAAAATGGATAATTAACGATAGGAAATGAAAAATCATCTCTTTTTTCATATATTTTAGTATTAAGCTTTCCGTTAATGATATAGATATCAAGATCGAGGAAAGGGCAGTGGTCATTGTTGGTATTAGCTTTATTTAAAGTAAGTTCAACAGGATAAATTTCTTTAGTATACATACTGAAGTCGTCATTATTGAGAGCCAAAATATCATCCAAATATCTAAAAGTATTATTAAATTTGTGTATCAGATGTTGTTTCGATGGGTCTTTGCTGATTTTTGTCATAAATTGTAACTCATAGCAATACAAAAAAAAGGTCCGCAATAAGTGGTGCACAGTTAGTCCCCATTGGAATTCCGATAACCTGACGATATACGGAATCTCCAAAGCGAACAAAAATGTTATCTAGTAAAAATTCAAGGGCATATATAGTATCAAAGCATGTCCAATTGACATAGTTTTTTTGTTTATTGCTACTAAAAAATGACCTAAAAGAGTTTGAACATATATATTCACATTCTGACTTTTTAAATGCCCATTTAATTAGGTGTGTGAATTTTTTCTTAATGAGAATGTGAGGCAATGTGGTATATAGGGTAGAGAAATCAAAACTTTGAACAGATTCAAAATCACCAATATATGCATGCAATTTATCAAGTACTTCCAACGAGTTCTTGACACTCCAAAAGTAATTAATTCCACTATTTTCGAAGGCCTTATTTGAACAAATTATTATCAGATTTTTGATTGTACCAAGTGTACTGGTAAGAAGAATAGACAATTTAGTAGTGGAACAATGGCTTGAAGACGAAATGAATCTATATTTGTAAGGTGTTTTGTGTAGCTTCGGAAGCCAATACATAGTTGGGACTTTCATTGTATTTGGTTCTGCTTGTAAAGCGGTAGCTAAAAGTTTATGTTTGTTACAGATGTCGTTTTCTGAAAATGGAGTCAGTTGGAATGTTGGTGAATTGGTGATTTCTTTTTTCAGAACCTCAATGTAAAATTTACGTCAAACAATTATAATATTATTAGCAGCTTTATCGGCCGGGACAAAAACAAATTCCTTGGCTAGTTCTTTTAGTTTATGTTTGATACGAGAAATAGGTTTATTGTGGTTACTGTTAAGAGTAAAATGTTCTTTAAAATGTTGAATACGTATATCAACTATGTTCATTACTGATTTAAAAAAAGAGTCCAAAGATTTTTTGTCAGCTTTTTCCCGTTTTATCCATTTCAAACAGTAAGTATGGAGTGAGTCGTGGATGATATTACGACACTCATTCCAATTAATAATTGACGGGGGACGATATTTAGGTCCTTTACTGAGGAATGATTTTAACTCTCGGTCTTGGACGATGTTAAGATCTCCTGTTATAACATGGGAAATGGGTCCATAAATGTATTCGGAATTACTGCAATTACATGAAGTAGGTGTATTTTCACTGATATTAACATCTTTACACAATTGGCTATAATTAAACACAAATTTCCGGGTAGATTTCTTGTAAATATAACAAATAAGAGGGAGCTCAGTATCAAAATATCCCGGAATTTGTTCATATCTACTCCTGTCAGATTTTCTCTATTCATAACGGTTTCAAAATAATGGTCCATTGGGCCAGGTGAGCTAAAAAATGACCTTAGAAATTACATAGGAATATATAATAAGTAGATACAGTATGATTTCCAACGAGACAACTATCCGCCCTAGACCAAATGACGCAGATGTAAGCAACTATATGTAGTCGTTTGGCTTTCAAGAATGAGGAAAACCCATACCCCATACCAAGCTATAAAATTAAATGTAAAACCATTCAAATGAGAAAACCAATTTCGATATTTTGGTTACCCTGCGTTAATTTCTTAAAAACACCAATTTCAATGTAGATCGCTTGACTTACAATATAGATTCAAACATCTTACTTGCTTTTTATTTGCTAATTTGAAAAGAACTGAGGCAATCGTTCTTGGAAGTAACCTAACCAATCCTTGACCAACTTATCCAAACTATGACAAAATCACTGAACTAAACGCTCCTCGATATGACGACCTTAATTACTACCTGTAGTGTTATTTTCTGATAATAATTTCAGATGTGAATGCCGCTTTGATTCGACTCAGCTCTGATATCCAATTTCTTTTATTGATAAGTCGATTGAATGTTTAAACTGAGCCTCCAAAACATTTCGTATTTACATTCCAGATTCCCATTTAAAAAAAAATTTGGATAATGTAATGAATTCCCCTAAACCTGATATTAAAATTTCCAAAAATATTTGTTTCTAGTAATTCCTCTCTCGTCACATATGTTTGTACTTTTTTGAATTCTGACCATGAGACCAAGAGATTGCTGTAATATTTCGACATTTTGATTTGACCAACTCCTTTTATATCCGAGCAAGTACAAATGAAAAAGTATACATAACATTTATTGTCTAAACATGTCAACAAATATTTTCCTATGGCATAACATTTCTCCACATCTGAATTAATAATGTTATACATACTTTTAATATGTTTGGATTTTATAAAACTTCTTAAATTACCCATCTCCATCCCGCCTTTTAGTTTTAGATAGACAGCAAACCGCTCGCGACACCTGATTTGTTTTCCCGTTCCAAATAAAAGACGATGTGATATTGTTTTTTTTTCTTCTTCATATTTTTCTGGTATTCCCCTCATTTCAATCTCAAAGCCAACAAGAGACAAAACGAATTATTTAATGATGATTATCTTTCCATTGTACGTCAGATCTCTCGATTTCCAGACTTCCATATAGCTTTTTATTTTGTTTATCTTTTCCAGCCAAAGTTGTTCTAAGTTGATCCCATATCCGTACTGTACACAAAGTGCCTTAATCGGTTGTTTAGTCCATCTAATGTTATTAAACCGAGGTTTTTGTGACACTACTTACCACTATACATAGCAACGGGTTTTTGCCATGTTCATTTTTGCTCCTGAAGCTTTCTTGAATAACATTTAAACTCAACACTCAATTTCTCCCGAAACCCACATTTTTCTAAACACAATTCGAACAAAAGTTACCTCTCTTTTGTCGCCATGCACAAATTCCTTCAAAAATCAGCCAAATTCAACTTGTTATACTGAACGATAGACTTTAGAAAAAGTTGTTTTCTGAACGATTTTAGTCTCTTTCAGCTTGATGCATCACTATGACCTTGTAAGGATGTCTCACCAGACTTTGTTGTACCGCATGTTTTAATTTGAGTAGTCAAATAAGAAAATCAACCATTTACCCCTCCAATCGGTGGCCAAGGGAAATAACTCGAACACAAATTACGGCTTATTTAAACCTTTCTATACAGAATGAAATTTAAAGCTACAATAAATGCAAATTTTACAAGGTAAATACAAATACATTTCTATGTAAATTTTCTTCACCCTAAATGTACGTATTTTTTTTTTCGCATTCTTCGTGAACTACGTGCAAACGATTTTGCCATTAAAATAATCGCAAATTCTAGTTATCGGAAAAAAATAGTTGACATTGTGTCTTTAAAAATGAAAAATTAATATAAAAATAAAACCATAAATCATTATCCTATGATATAGATATAACATAATGATTGAAAACTGTTCATTATTTTACTAGCTATCTACTTTGAAAATCGAAATCTTCGTATGCCGCCAATTTCAGCTATGTGACGTATAATAATAATGTATTTTTTGTGAACCGCCTTCATCTCACTATATAGTTTCTTGTTTAACTAGATTCAAAAGAATAACATAGGTTTAATTTATTTCGAAAATTTAAGTTTTTGGAAATTTAGGGAGCTACCATTTGATTTTTATGGGTGGCTAGGATGAAATTTGAAAAAAATAGGCAGGACAGGAGTTTTGAGTAAAAAAAAAAAGGCAGGATGAGACACTTTGCAAAAAAAAATGCAGGATGACAATTTATGTAAAAAAGTCAGGATCAACTAAAAAAAAAAGGCAGGACCGAATAGAGTGAAAAATAAAAAGGCAGGACAAAGATTACAACTACAAAAAAATGCAGGACAAAATTCTTCATCCTAGCCCCCCCCCCCCCCCCCCCCCCCATAAAAATCAAATGACAGATCCCGTATACGAAGTGAAAGCAAATGACAAGCACATGCAAAAGTGATGATCACTATATCTTATTTTGTATAATTAAAAAAAGAAACACCATTCAATTATAAAAAGAATTATTAAATAAAATGAGCCGGCCTAGTAAAGATGAAAATTCTTAAGAAAAATCTTCCTGCTCCCTTTCCCGACCAGAAAACCAACCCGTCATTAACCGGCAATTTTAGGGACCAATATGAACCATAAATTAAATTAATTAAATTTTTTTCATCATCGGACACCTTTAACCAAATTGATTTACTTTATATCCTAAATTCAATAATTTCAGTTTCAGTAGAATTTTTGATATTGGCCAATAATTTTTTCTCTATTTTTTCAATTTTCCAACAGTATCAAAAACGCAGTTTTTAACTATCTTTAAGAATTTATTAGATGGTCATATTTTTAGAAATAAACACTTATGTTATAACCTCAAAATAAAGATATAAACATGTACTGTTGTAAATTTAATGTTTAAGAAGAGATCGAAAGACTTTTAAAAATGGTTTTTCTTCTATGCGGGGAACATTAAAATATTATTTTATAAATTCAATTATATTGGTTATATCTGACAAAAATGGATTATAAAGCAATATCTATATATTTTTTTCTTTTACTTACAGTCGGACATTGAACCATTATTGTGTTTTATAAATATTGACTGTTTCGTAATTGTTGTTTATAACTAACAGTTCTCTTGTTTCATAATTGTAAGATAAACCGCCTGGTAGGTTGATACCATCGTCAGCTGTCAGGACAATATCATGTCCCTGTCCATTATCAGATATAATATGTATGTTGTTTGATCCTCTCCCTACAACATACACATCACCGCGGTGGTCTACAGCCACACCTTGAGAATCGTCCAGGTCAGGACTGCTGTATATCTCACGTTCTTTTCCGTCCGATGTAACGACGAAGACTTTATCACTATTATCGTGAAGGCAAAATATATCACCATCTTTGTTGGCACAGATATCCCAAGGATTAAATGTTGTGCGTATTGTTTTCAGAACTTTACCATTAATATCCACTATGGATAGAGTTTTGGGTTGACCATTTACCCATATCTTATCCTTTACACTGGTTATTCCATAACAACATCTTCCAACTTTAATTATTCTACCAAGTTTTAATGATGTGAGGTCGATTATCTGCACACTTTCCCCACCTACAGGTACTAAAGCTTGATTATTGTCATACAAGGTAATACATTCTGGTATATAATCCAAGTTAATAACTTTGGGGTTGGATCCATCTCGTTCACAAACAAAAAGATTACTTTGTAAGTACTGACTAAGGATTAATCTATTACCAGGAATAAAACAACCTTTATAAATACACACATTATCCCCTAATACCCTAGTCTGGAATGAATTCGTCAATGACAATTTTCTCTGGTCTCCCTGTGGTTTGACCGGAAACAGAACTTGTTGGTCTATATCTAGTACAGACATTGGTACTTGGACATGCTCTACATTTATTGTACCCAAGTCTTGTAGTACTTTTTCTATAATTGACCGTTTTTCTGTTAACAGTATTATCTTGTGAGCTGGGAACATCCTTTCGTGAACTCTGGTACATATTTTACAAACAGGTTCACTACAATCACTGCACCAGGATTCTGCTTTTATGTCTTCGTTACCACGTTGACAACCGACACACAGTTTACTGTCTGCCATACTATAACATGAGAAATAAATAGCGTATGGATTTTAGTGCTAATAAATGTTCATGATAATTTCCTGACTTCTAGACTATATAAAGCCATTAAAAGTATACTATTTATTCAGCTAGTATATGTTTGTATATCAATTCATGACCGACTAGTTGTGCAAATTAGAGTCGCAGATGCTTGGGGTTGGGACTCCTCATTTTCTTTTTTTTCTTTTGTTGTGTTGAAGATCCAGTAAATCGAATAATAAATGAGAGACAGACGATACCAAAGGGATATTCAAACTCATAAGTCGATGAAAAACTGACATTACAACAAAAAACGACAAAAAGATAAGCAGAAGCATACAAAACAGTCCTGTACATGTATCAAGCTAAAACAGAAGCATACAAAACAGTCCTGTACATGTATCAAGCTAAAACAGAAGCATACAAAACAGTCCTGTACATGTATCAAGCTAAAACAGAAGCATACAAAACAGTCCTGTACATGTATCAAGCTAAAACAGAAGCATACAAAACAGTCCTGTACATGTATCAAGCTAAAACAGAAGCATACAAAACAGTCCTGTACATGTATCAAGCTAAAACAGAAGCATACAAAACAGTCCTGTACATGTATCAAGCTAAAACAGAAGCATACAAAACAGTCCTGTACATGTATCAAGCTAAAACAGAAGCATACAAAACAGTCCTGTACATGTATCAAGCTAAAACAGAAGCATACAAAACAGTCCTGTACATGTATCAAGCTAAAACAGAAGCATACAAAACAGTCCTGTACATGTATCAAGCTAAAACAGAAGCATACAAAACAGTCCTGTACATGTATCAAGCTAAAACAGAAGCATACAAAACAGTCCTGTACATGTATCAAGCTAAAACAGAAGCATACAAAACAGTCCTGTACATGTATCAAGCTAAAACAGAAGCATACAAAACAGTCCTGTACATGTATCAAGCTAAAACAGAAGCATACAAAACAGTCCTGTACATGTATCAAGCTAAAACAGAAGCATACAAAACAGTCCTGTACATGTATCAAGCTAAAACAGAAGCATACAAAACAGTCCTGTACATGTATCAAGCTAAAACAGAAGCATACAAAACAGTCCTGTACATGTATCAAGCTAAAACAGAAGCATACAAAACAGTCCTGTACATGTATCAAGCTAAAACAGAAGCATACAAAACAGTCCTGTACATGTATCAAGCTAAAACAGAAGCATACAAAACAGTCCTGTACATGTATCAAGCTAAAACAGAAGCATACAAAACAGTCCTGTACATGTATCAAGCTAAAACAGAAGCATACAAAACAGTCCTGTACATGTATCAAGCTAAAACAGAAGCATACAAAACAGTCCTGTACATGTATCAAGCTAAAACAGAAGCATACAAAACAGTCCTGTACATGTATCAAGCTAAAACAGAAGCATACAAAACAGTCCTGTACATGTATCAAGCTAAAACAGAAGCATACAAAACAGTCCTGTACATGTATCAAGCTAAAACAGAAGCATACAAAACAGTCCTGTACATGTATCAAGCTAAAACAGAAGCATACAAAACAGTCCTGTACATGTATCAAGCTAAAACAGAAGCATACAAAACAGTCCTGTACATGTATCAAGCTAAAACAGAAGCATACAAAACAGTCCTGTACATGTATCAAGCTAAAACAGAAGCATACAAAACAGTCCTGTACATGTATCAAGCTAAAACAGAAGCATACAAAACAGTCCTGTACATGTATCAAGCTAAAACAGAAGCATACAAAACAGTCCTGTACATGTATCAAGCTAAAACAGAAGCATACAAAACAGTCCTGTACATGTATCAAGCTAAAACAGAAGCATACAAAACAGTCCTGTACATGTATCAAGCTAAAACAGAAGCATACAAAACAGTCCTGTACATGTATCAAGCTAAAACAGAAGCATACAAAACAGTCCTGTACATGTATCAAGCTAAAACAGAAGCATACAAAACAGTCCTGTACATGTATCAAGCTAAAACAGAAGCATACAAAACAGTCCTGTACATGTATCAAGCTAAAACAGAAGCATACAAAACAGTCCTGTACATGTATCAAGCTAAAACAGAAGCATACAAAACAGTCCTGTACATGTATCAAGCTAAAACAGAAGCATACAAAACAGTCCTGTACATGTATCAAGCTAAAACAGAAGCATACAAAACAGTCCTGTACATGTATCAAGCTAAAACAGAAGCATACAAAACAGTCCTGTACATGTATCAAGCTAAAACAGAAGCATACAAAACAGTCCTGTACATGTATCAAGCTAAAACAGAAGCATACAAAACAGTCCTGTACATGTATCAAGCTAAAACAGAAGCATACAAAACAGTCCTGTACATGTATCAAGCTAAAACAGAAGCATACAAAACAGTCCTGTACATGTATCAAGCTAAAACAGAAGCATACAAAACAGTCCTGTACATGTATCAAGCTAAAACAGAAGCATACAAAACAGTCCTGTACATGTATCAAGCTAAAACAGAAGCATACAAAACAGTCCTGTACATGTATCAAGCTAAAACAGAAGCATACAAAACAGTCCTGTACATGTATCAAGCTAAAACAGAAGCATACAAAACAGTCCTGTACATGTATCAAGCTAAAACAGAAGCATACAAAACAGTCCTGTACATGTATCAAGCTAAAACAGAAGCATACAAAACAGTCCTGTACATGTATCAAGCTAAAACAGAAGCATACAAAACAGTCCTGTACATGTATCAAGCTAAAACAGAAGCATACAAAACAGTCCTGTACATGTATCAAGCTAAAACAGAAGCATACAAAACAGTCCTGTACATGTATCAAGCTAAAACAGAAGCATACAAAACAGTCCTGTACATGTATCAAGCTAAAACAGAAGCATACAAAACAGTCCTGTACATGTATCAAGCTAAAACAGAAGCATACAAAACAGTCCTGTACATGTATCAAGCTAAAACAGAAGCATACAAAACAGTCCTGTACATGTATCAAGCTAAAACAGAAGCATACAAAACAGTCCTGTACATGTATCAAGCTAAAACAGAAGCATACAAAACAGTCCTGTACATGTATCAAGCTAAAACAGAAGCATACAAAACAGTCCTGTACATGTATCAAGCTAAAACAGAAGCATACAAAACAGTCCTGTACATGTATCAAGCTAAAACAGAAGCATACAAAACAGTCCTGTACATGTATCAAGCTAAAACAGAAGCATACAAAACAGTCCTGTACATGTATCAAGCTAAAACAGAAGCATACAAAACAGTCCTGTACATGTATCAAGCTAAAACAGAAGCATACAAAACAGTCCTGTACATGTATCAAGCTAAAACAGAAGCATACAAAACAGTCCTGTACATGTATCAAGCTAAAACAGAAGCATACAAAACAGTCCTGTACATGTATCAAGCTAAAACAGAAGCATACAAAACAGTCCTGTACATGTATCAAGCTAAAACAGAAGCATACAAAACAGTCCTGTACATGTATCAAGCTAAAACAGAAGCATACAAAACAGTCCTGTACATGTATCAAGCTAAAACAGAAGCATACAAAACAGTCCTGTACATGTATCAAGCTAAAACAGAAGCATACAAAACAGTCCTGTACATGTATCAAGCTAAAACAGAAGCATACAAAACAGTCCTGTACATGTATCAAGCTAAAACAGAAGCATACAAAACAGTCCTGTACATGTATCAAGCTAAAACAGAAGCATACAAAACAGTCCTGTACATGTATCAAGCTAAAACAGAAGCATACAAAACAGTCCTGTACATGTATCAAGCTAAAACAGAAGCATACAAAACAGTCCTGTACATGTATCAAGCTAAAACAGAAGCATACAAAACAGTCCTGTACATGTATCAAGCTAAAACAGAAGCATACAAAACAGTCCTGTACATGTATCAAGCTAAAACAGAAGCATACAAAACAGTCCTGTACATGTATCAAGCTAAAACAGAAGCATACAAAACAGTCCTGTACATGTATCAAGCTAAAACAGAAGCATACAAAACAGTCCTGTACATGTATCAAGCTAAAACAGAAGCATACAAAACAGTCCTGTACATGTATCAAGCTAAAACAGAAGCATACAAAACAGTCCTGTACATGTATCAAGCTAAAACAGAAGCATACAAAACAGTCCTGTACATGTATCAAGCTAAAACAGAAGCATACAAAACAGTCCTGTACATGTATCAAGCTAAAACAGAAGCATACAAAACAGTCCTGTACATGTATCAAGCTAAAACAGAAGCATACAAAACAGTCCTGTACATGTATCAAGCTAAAACAGAAGCATACAAAACAGTCCTGTACATGTATCAAGCTAAAACAGAAGCATACAAAACAGTCCTGTACATGTATCAAGCTAAAACAGAAGCATACAAAACAGTCCTGTACATGTATCAAGCTAAAACAGAAGCATACAAAACAGTCCTGTACATGTATCAAGCTAAAACAGAAGCATACAAAACAGTCCTGTACATGTATCAAGCTAAAACAGAAGCATACAAAACAGTCCTGTACATGTATCAAGCTAAAACAGAAGCATACAAAACAGTCCTGTACATGTATCAAGCTAAAACAGAAGCATACAAAACAGTCCTGTACATGTATCAAGCTAAAACAGAAGCATACAAAACAGTCCTGTACATGTATCAAGCTAAAACAGAAGCATACAAAACAGTCCTGTACATGTATCAAGCTAAAACAGAAGCATACAAAACAGTCCTGTACATGTATCAAGCTAAAACAGAAGCATACAAAACAGTCCTGTACATGTATCAAGCTAAAATTTTGATTAACCATGAACTTGTTATCGCATCAACTTGACACTTTATCGTGTTATGAGCTATTTAAAATGCATGCCAATTTAAGGTGTCAACTCGGATTTCGCTAACAAATAAAAAATAAAAACTTGAATTGAATTGATTGATTAATTTCTTTTTAACATCCAGCAGCAAAATATTACAAGCATATTCAGGACATGCTATTGAAATTTATAAACCATTTGTTGTACGACACCGACACGTTGAGTTGGAGTGCTCACTATGTCACATGCCACAGGAAGGCATATCAACATTCTTAGACACATTATGCTACAAACTCATAGTTGATCAGTCTATATGTTCTTACACCTAAATATAACGTGCATGACGGGAATGCGTGAAATACATGCACCAGTTTAAAAGTGATTGATTTGGCCAATCGAGAAATTAAAACCACAACTTCTGCAATACACCACTGACTTCAAAAAGTTGTCTTTCTGGCATTTATAGATTTATTCGTTATAAAATTGACTAGGCCAAAAGAAAGTGTACAATGGAATAAAATAATACGAAGATAGGTATAGATGTGTACAATGGAATAAAAAAACTATGAATATAGTTATAGATTAGAAAACGACAAACTGTAACAATTAAAGGCAACAGTAGTATACCACTGTTCAATAGTCATAATTCGATTAATCAAAAACAAATCCGAGTAAAAAACTAAAACCGAGGGAAACACATCAACTATAAGACTCATAAGAGGTAAACAACGGAATAACAGAAACACTGAACTACAACAAAAGCATACATACATAGAAACGGACTGTCGGATAACAATATTCCTGTGCCATATTCCTGACTTGGTAAAGAAAAATGGTGGGTTGAACCTGGTTTTATGGCCAGCCAAACCACTCACTAATATGGCAATGTTAAAAATACTGCTAAAATGACAACACTACCTGACAGGAATACAGTACAAAGGCAAGAACACTCAGCACAGATTTTTAGCCATGCCAAAAAAAAAAAAGATACTCGCCTTACGATAAAGGGCAACGAAATCAAATAGTTTAGTTTGTTTATGTCGGTAACCATGAAGATAAAACGTTATTTCAAAACTATACTCGTACATGAAAATATGTATTTGAAGTATGCAGCGTACCTTGACCTATAATGGTTTACTTTTATAAATTGTAACTTGGATGGAGAGTTGTCTCATTGGCACTCATACCACATCTTCCTATATCTAATAAATGTAGTTTGTCTTTGTTTCGTTACTTATTGAGAGATTATTGCATAAGAAGCTTGTTATTAAAACAACATTGCACACGCTGAAAAGTCTCGCCTGCTATACTTTTCATGATGGAATTTCATACAATACATCGAAAATAGTTAGCCTTTTGATTATAGTATATGAGATATAGACTGAATTTCGAAAATTGAAGATTGACCAATGAACCATAAAAATGAGGTCAAGGTCAGATGAACACTGCCAGACAAAATAGACTCCATGCAAGTATTCCATACACCAAACATAGTTGGCATATGCTTGTAGTATCTGAGAAACAGACTTAATCACAAAAACTTAACATTAACTAATGAACCATGAAAATTAGGTCAAAGTCAGATGACATTTTCCAGACTGACATTTATACCTACAATCATTCCATTCATTCCAATAAAGTGGTCCTATGCTTATTGTATCTGACAAGTAGCCACAACCTGAAAAAAAATTAACATTGTCCAATGAACCATAAAAAAAGGTCAAGATCAGATGAAACCCGCCAGACAGACATGTGCATCTTACAATCATTCCTAACACCAAATACAGCTGATCTATTGCTTATAGATTCTGCGAATCAGACCAAATCACAAAATACCTAACATTGACCAATGAGGACAAGGTCAGATGAACCCTGCCAGTCAGACATGTACACCTTGTAAAAATTCCAAAAACCAAATATAGTTGACTTATTGCTTATAGTATATGAGATATGGACTTAACCTAGATCACTTATTCATGAAATGAGGTCGACGTCAGATGAACCTTGTCTAACGGACAAGTAAGCCTTACAAGGACCCCATATACCAAATAAAGGTATAGTATTACTCAGTCGCTGAACCATTTAATTGAAGTCAGGACAATGGACATAAGCCAATAACATAAGGTATCTGAATACAAGGAATGAAGCCTCTTCTAAGTTCTGAAATATAAAGCTTTATATCCAATTGTTTACGTCGTCACCTCCACCGGATGGTCACCCCAATGTCTCGCATTAAAGGTTTCCCAATCTGCTACCGTACCAACCGAGCCTTTATTGAATTTTTGAAAATAACTGATGTATAGGCTTAATGTAAACGTATGTGTTATGAGTCATAATTAACCTCATTAATAATGTATTAATGATGAAATAAACCAACTACTTTTAGACGAGTAAAATCTCTAAATTGTCAAAATATTAACATACAATATACCAATTATTATATCAATGTCATTAATCATCAGCATGATTAGCATTAAGTCTTCACCTTCTGATTTTAAAATATTTATTACCTTTACCATTCTATATTTTTCTCCATTTTCACACATGTATGAGAGATTTTACCAATAGGAAAAATACGAAGAAAGCGTCAAACTACAAGATACGCTAATAAACCATTTCATGAACAAGAGTGTCAGTGCAATTTACAATCATTTTATGACAATTGTTCTTGAGTTTTTTTATTCCAATAATTCTAGACTTTGGTCGTTTTTTTCATTGGCAATAAAGTAGAAAATTTTTATTTTCTCGATATTTTCAGTTTACATCTTTAGAATGCATTTCTAGAAAATGGAATCTTTAGATTGTGATAAAAAAAAATGAGTAACACGTGTTTAAGAACGTCGTTCATAGATCGTATTTCAATTATTCCAAATTCTGTTTATTATACATTAACAAAAGATTCTTTCATTTTTTCTATATATAAACAAAACAAACAAAAAACAAAAACGCAAATCTATATTTAGATATTTCAAGGCCGTGTCAACTTAGTTCGTGTAAGGTCTGTTTGATTCATGCACTTGTGCACTAACTGAATAATCTCATTTAGAATAAAAACCAAAGTGTTCTATAAACGGTGAAATCTCTATCAAATAAAAAGTTCAGCAAGATTTTGCTGATTTGCAATTCGATTTCTTTAGTTTTATCATGATGAATTAAGGTGGTACCTAACACTACAGGGAGATAACTCTGTAAAAATCAGCTAAACGTTTTAATTACGTTGTATTGTTAAGGAAATATTAAGCTTCTCAATGATCAAAATTAGTGTTTGTCAAGCTGCTATATAACCAAAGAAATTTTTCTGATAAAGTGGTTGGTTCAAATTTTTTGAAATTTTTATATTTTTGTCAAAGGGTCAAAGTAAACATTTTGTCAAAATTTTATGAAAATTAAACGAACCAAATTAATATTAGTCAAGGTGTTGGGTACCACCTTAAATAATCTAATGCGTTAAATGATACCTCCAAAACAACACTAACGGTTGAGATACGTACCAACCGTACCTGATACGTAGCAAATCGGGAAACCTCTAATATGCGACTTCCGTCAGGCAAAAATGTTAATCTTTGTTGCATGTTTACAAAAACAATATGGAAAAGTCAATACATCCTCGTAACGGCAATCAGTGAGGCAGGTGCAACCGGTAACACAGATCCGAAGAATATTTATACGTTTGTCAGGTAGGAAAATATTTTCCCATTTTCTCCTGTTTAAAGTATTTTTATGGTAATGTTTTATGTTTCACGTATTGGTTATGTGACAGGTCATTTGTTTTTCAAATTTGAAGTTGGAACTACACTAAGTCTTGTTAAAAAACTTATCAATGAATTCAGTTGGAGGATCTCTCATTTTAAAACAGTTGCGTAAATAATAGCATATTTCTTCAAAACTATAATTGGAAATCACAAGTTATATATGTTTCATAAAATAAGTCAGTGACATATACGACTTTCTAACCAAATAAGAAGAATTTCTGTTATTTAATCACTGTTATATACACAATTGAAATTGGTAAATCAACAGTGTTTGGCTATCGTATACAGCAGACATGGCAAACACTGATGGTTGATTTTGTTAACAAGTTGGCAATCGTAAACAAAAGTTGTAAATTTACTTTTCAAATTAATGGTCTTGTTTTCAGATTTAAAAATCGTCCAATGATCGCTAATCTTCCACCTTGGGTTTGTTTTTGATTAATTTTCAAAATGTCCAATGCTTAAACAGTCTGTAGTATTCTTAGCGAATAAGTTTTCAATAGATTAGCAACATTCCAGCAGCGCCTGCATTTGAAGTATCTTCCAGTTGATACGATATTCCATGGCTTGAATTTCCTATTATTTCCTTGATAGATGTTGTTGCTCACAAAGAAGATATTAAACCAAGTGGTGAAGTTGAAATCACCCCTTCGTGTTGCTTAGTCTTTTGTTTTCTATATTGTGTTTTGAATACTATTGTTTGTCTTCTGGTCTATTCCGTTGTCAGTTTGTTGTCGGCTTAAGAAGGAATTATTCAAACCTCTTTACGTAGAATATTTCACACCATATCAAAAATAGATTTTATTGATTATTTCCGTCCGAAATGGAATACATAGCAATATAATTAGTTATTTGAATTCATAATCTGACATGGTTCCATTATTGTATTTTATAAATATTGACTATGTTATTATAATTATTTACTACTAACAGTTCTCTTGTTTCACAGTTGTAAGATAAACCGATAGGTTGATAGATACCATCATCTGCAGTCAGGACGATATCATGTTTCTGTCCATCATTAGATATTCTATGTATGTTATTCGATCCTCGCCCTGCTACATACACATCACCGCGGTCGTCTACAGCCACAGCACTAGTTATGGTCAGGTCAGGACTCTTGTATATTTCACGTTCTTTTCCATCTGATGTAACGACGAAGACTTTATTACTAAAATTGTCAGTACAATAGACATCCCCATTGTTGTTGGCACAGATAACCCAAGGATCAAATTTTGTATGTATTGTGTTCAGAACTTTACCATTGATATCCACTATGGTTAGAGTGTTGCGTTCATTTTTTACCCAGATTTTATCTTTAAAACTGGTGATTCCTTCACACGTTCCTCCAACATTAATCATTCTACTAGGCCTTAACGATGTCAGGTCAATGATCTGGACACTTCCATTACCTTGAGATACTATAGCATGTTTGTTTCTATACAATGTTATATATTTTGGTTCAAAATTCAAATTAATTTCTTTGTAGTTTGATCCATCAAGTTTACATGCAAAAAGTTTGCTGCCACTGTACTGACAAAGGAGTAACCTATTACCAGGGAAAAAACAACCTCTTAAAATACACACACCATTACCTAATTTCGTGGTCTGGAATGAATTTGTCAGCGACAACTTTCTCTTGTCTCCTTGGGCTCTGACAAGAACCTGGCTTTGTTGATCGAGATCTAGTACAGGCTTTGGTACTGGGACATTGTCTATCGTTATATTACCGAAATCCAGGAGTATCGCTTTTACATTTGATTCTAATTCTAAAGGATGATATGTAAGTGTTGGAACAGTTGCTATTTGAAGTTCTCTGATTTTCAATTCTTTCTGGTGAGTTTTAACATCGAGAAATTTTACTACCTGGAATAAATGGATTTCAGAAGCGTGTTGTTTAAGCGATTTTAGATCACTTTTCCATGTAGACAATGAGTCAGTGCTAGACCGGGCGCTATCTTTATTTCGGGATATCGTATCATTACATTGTTTATACTTATTATCAATGTCTTTATATATATCTGCTTCTAGTTTATCTAAATGACCGATAACTCTCTGTTTCATTTCCGACACTCTTTTCTTGATGTTGTTACGAATGTTCTTCAAATCTTCAAGTGTTGTCTCATTTTGACTCAGTATTTTTTCTGTAACCTGACTAAGGTTTTCCATCCTTCTCTCTAGATCGGAAATAGCAGTGCTATCTTTCACGCCCTTGGCAGCTTTTTCAACTGAAATGATAGGTTTGCAATTCTGATGTGATGCAGGTACACATGAATCGCAGATCACCTTGTCATGTTGACAGCAGTACAGTACGATCTTTTGATCGGGATGATTGTCACAATTCTCGGACATTTCAAGAAACGAAGAAATAAGTTGTTGTATTTCTTTCATTGGTACTATCTTATTGGCTGGTAACATTCGTTCATGAACTCTGGCACATGTCTTACAAACAAGTTCACTGCAGTCACTGCACGAGGATACTGCTTTCATGTCTTCATCCCTACACTGACAACCGACACAAAATTGAATATCCGCCATACTGTAATATGAGAAATACATAACGTATGCATTAAAAAAAGTATTTGATGGACATAAAATTAGTTAAACATTTTTTCGATTTATTTTTAGGCTATAACTCTCTAAGGAGTCATCCAATTGTTTTTAACATTATAGTGTTTTTGTTTGATTTTTTTTTTTGTAAATCTTGGTTTTTAAAATTATTTTTGCAGTTAAGTGTTTCTATCTATCATTATAACTTCGGGACAATGGAAAAAAAGCACGTCTAAATTTATTAAAAAATCGTCATTTATAGCCAATAATTCCTTAACAAGTTGTCCAATGCTTTCTGTCCTTGGGCATTTTTGTAGATCATAATTTGCTCATCTTTTTTGTCATTTACAGTTTCTACGTATCCAATATAGTTTTTTGAGAAAATAGGTAATAAACAGCTGCGCCATGAGCGCATGATACGCCCGTCCCATTTTCTAAGAATAAAGTTCAATAACTTCTCAATGTCATATCAGAAATTTATGAATAATTAAAGGGAGGTTACCTTAATAGATATAAACCAGGCACCAAAGTTTAATGAAAACTGTTCAAAGCACTGTAAAGGTATTGTCTGAAAACTGCAAAATCACCCCTTTTTATGAATAAAAATCCCATAACTAGGAAATGTAAAATCTAAAATCTATTAAAATCGAAAAGGAGCTCATGACAATAGATATAAACAATTCACCAAGTTTCTTGCAAATTGGTAAAATCATTTTTGAGTTATTGTCCGAAAACTTGAAAATCCCCCTTTTTTTAATGAATAAAACCCAATAACTCGGAAACGTAAAATCTAAAATCCCCCCTTTTTTAGCTCACCTGGCCCGAAGGGCCAAGTGAGCTTTTCTCATCACTTGGCGTCCGTCGTACGTCGTCGTCCGTCGTCGTCGTTAACTTTTTACATTTTGAACTTCTTCTAGAGAACCACTGAATGGAATGAAACCAAACATGGCATGAATGTTCCTTATGAGGTGCTGACCAAGTGTTGTTACTTTGAAGCCGATCCATCATCCAAGATGGCCGCCAGCAGGGGACATAGTTTAACATAGGACCCTATGGGAAATACATACAAATGTCTTCTTTTAGAGAACCACTGAATGGAATGAAACCAAACATGGCATGAATGTTCCTTATGAGGTGCTGACCAAGTGTTGTTACTTTGAAGCTGATCCATCATCCAAGATGACCGCCAGCGGGGGACTTAGTTTAACATAGGACCCTACGGGAAATACATACAAATGTCTTCTTTTAGAGAACCACTGAATGGAATGAAACCAAACATGGCATGAATGTTGCTTATGAGGTGCTGACCAAGTGTTGTTACTTTGAAGCCGATCCATAATCCAAGATGGCCGCCAGCGGGGGACATAGTTTAACATAGGACCCTATGGGAAATACATACAAATGTCTTCTTTTAGAGAACCACTGAATGGAATGAAACCAAACATGGCATGAATGTTGCTTATGAGGTGCTGACTAAGTGTTGTTACTTTGAAGCCCAGCCATCATCCAAGATGGCCGCCAGCGGGGGACATAGTTTAACATAGGACCCTATGGGAAATACATACAAATGTCTTCTTTTAGAGAACCACTGAATGGAATGAAGCCAAACATGGCATGAATGTTCCTTTTGAGGTGTTGACCAAGTGTTGTTACTTTTAAGCTAATCCATCATCCAAGATGGCCGCCAGCGGGGGACATAGTTTAACATAGGACCCTATGGGAAATACATACAAATGTCTTCTTTTAGAGAACCACTGAATGGAATGAAACCAAACATGGCATGAATGTTCCTTATGAGGTGCTGACCAAGTGTTGTTACTTTGAAGCTAATCCATCATCCAAGTTGGCCGCCAGCGGGGGACTTAGTTTAACATAGGACCCTATGAGAAGTACATACAAATGTCTTCTTTTAGAGAACCACTGAATGGAATGAAACCAAACATGGCATGAATGTTCCTTATGAGGTGCTGACCAAGTGTTGTTACTTTGAAGCTAATCCATCATCCAAGATGGCCTCCAGCGGGGGACTTAGTTTAACATAGGACCCTATGAGAAATACATACAAATGTCTTCTTTTAGAGAACCACTGAATGGAATGAAACCAAACATGGCATGAATGTTCCTTATGAGGTGCTGACCAAGTGTTGTTACTTTGAAGCTAATCCATCATCCAAGATGGCCGCCAGCGGGGGACTTAGTTTAACATAGGACCCTATGGGAAATACATACAAATGTCTTCTTTTAGAGAACTACTGAATGGAATGAAACCAAACATGGCATAAATTTTCCTTATGAGGTGCTGACCAAGTGTTGTCACTCTGAAGCCGATCCATCATCCAAGATGGCCGCTAGCAGAGGACTTAGTTTAACATAGGACCCTATTGGAAATATTTACAAATGTCTTCTTTTAGAGAACCACTGAATGGAATGAAACCAAACATGGCATGAATGTTCCTTATGAGGTGCTGACCAAGTATTGTTACTTTGAAGCCGATCCATCATCCAAGATGGCCGCCAGCGGGGGACTTAGTTTAACATAGGACCCTATGGGAAATACATACGAATGTCTTCTTTTGGAGAACCACTGAATGGAATGAAACCAAACATGGCATGAATGTTCTTTATGAAGTACTGACCAAGTGTTGTTACTTTGAAGCTGATCCATCATCCAAGATGCTCACTAGCTGGGGACAGTGTTTAACAAAGGACCCTATGGACAATACATACAAATGTCTTCTTTTAGAGAACTACTGAATGGAATGAAACCAAACATGGCATAAATTTTCCTTATGAGGTGCTGACCAAGTGTTGTCACTCTGAAGCCGATCCATCATCCAAGATGGCCGCTAGCAGAGGACTTAGTTTAACATAGGACCCTATTGGAAATATTTACAAATGTCTTCTTTTAGAGAACCACTGAATGGAATGAAACCAAACATGGCATGAATGTTCCTTATGAGGTGCCGACCAAGTATTGTTACTTTGAAGCCGATCCATCATCCAAGATGGCCGCCAGCGGGGGACATAGTTTAACATAGGACCCTATGGGAAATACATACAAATGTCTTCTTTTAGAGAACCACTGAATGGAATGAAGCCAAACATGGCATGAATGTTCCTTATGAGGTGCTGACCAAGTGTTGTTACTTTGAAGCTAATCCATCATCCAAGATGGCCGCCAGCGGGGGACATAGTTTAACATAGGACCCTATGGGAAATACATACAAATGTCTTCTTTTAGAGAACCACTGAATGGAATGAAACCAAACATGGCATGAATGTTCCTTATGAGGTGCTGACCAAGTGTTGTTACTTTGAAGCTAATCCATCATCCAAGTTGGCCGCCAGCGGGGGACTTAGTTTAACATAGGACCCTATGAGAAGTACATACAAATGTCTTCTTTTAGAGAACCACTGAATGGAATGAAACCAAACATAGCATGAATGTTCCTTATGAGGTGCTGACCAAGTGTTGTTACTTTGAAGCTAATCCATCATCCAAGATGGCCGCCAGCGGGGGACTTAGTTTAACATAGGACCCTATGAGAAATACATACAAATGTCTTCTTTTAGAGAACCACTGAATGGAATGAAACCAAACATGGCATGAATGTTCCTTATGAGGTTCTGACCAAGTTTTGTTACTTTGAAGCTAATCCATCATCCAAGATGGCCGCCAGCGGGGGACTTAGTTTAACATAGGACCCTATGGGAAATACATACAAATGTCTTCTTTTAGAGAACTACTGAATGGAATGAAACCAAACATGGCATAAATTTTCCTTATGAGGTGCTGACCAAGTGTTGTCACTCTGAAGCCGATCCATCATCCAAGATGGCCGCTAGCAGAGGACTTAGTTTAACATAGGACCCTATTGGAAATATTTACAAATGTCTTCTTTTAGAGAACCACTGAATGGAATGAAACCAAACATGGCATGAATGTTCCTTATGAGGTGCTGACCAAGTGTTGTTACTTTGAAGCTGATCCATCATCCAAGATGCTCACTAGCTGGGGACAGTGTTTAACAAAGGACCCTATGGACAATACATACAAATGTCTTCTTTTAGAGAACCACTGAATGGATTGAAACCAAACATGGCATGAATGTTCCTTATGAGGTGCTGACTAAATGTTGTTACTTTGAAGCTGATCCGTCATCCACGATGGCCGCCAGCGGGGGACTTCTTTTAACATAAGACGCTATTGGAAATACATACAAATGCTTCTTCTAGAGGTGCACTGAATGGAATGAAACCAAACATGGCATAAATGTTTCTTATGAGGTGCTGATGAAGTGTTGCTACTTTGTTGCTGATTTACTTTTCAAGATGGCCATCAGGATTTTTTTTTTAAATAACAGGGCCAATTTTAAACCAAATTTGGCCTCACTCATTATTAGGGTATCTGTTATGATTTTAATCTATTTTAACATGATTTCCAAAACCAAAGTAGAATAAGGTGAGCGACACAGGCTCTTGAGAGCCTCTAGTTAATGAATAAAACCCCATAACTCGGAAACGTAAAATAAAAAATTTATAAAACACAACAGGAAGCTCACGTCAATATATTTAAACAATTCACCAAAGTTTCATGCAAATTGATTACAGCGTTTTTGAGTTAATGTCCGACATGTTGACGACGGACGGACATACGGACGGACGGACGGACAGATGGACAGACGAACGGACGGACGGATAGACAGATAACGGTATACCATAACACGTCCCGTAAACGGGCGTATAAAAACATGAAAATAAGCCGAACATCGTCATTTAAAGGCAATAACTCCTGAAGAAGTCATCTATTAATTTTGTTGAAAATATGAAGTAGGCAGATCACTTTGAGCATTTTTGCACATTCATATTAATTATGGTTTCCACCTATATAACCATTTAATGGCTCTCATTCATATGTTTTATTTTTAGCAACTTCGGCCATGTTTGTTGACTGACCAGAAAACAACAACTTTATACTACGTATATACC